GCCTGGGCCCTGGTGGCTACTGGACAAGCTCCCCATCCCTGCTTGCTCCTCAGAGGCCAGTGGGCCATGGGGTACTGCCCGCAGACAGCCTGCCTTCCCCTGCCCCTGTTCCCAGGCTGGGACAGGCATAGCTACTGGCAGCACCTTTTGCCACAGCTCCAGACCTACTCCCGCCCCCACACACACACTTTTCATTCTGCAGGCCAGCCTGTTTCCTGTGCTGCTGTGTTTCCTGGGCTCAGGGGATGTGGGGCTCCTGGACAACTGGTACACAGAGCTGGTACCCCCTGTCCTCCTCTGCGAATCTGATGCAGCATTTCAAGTCAGGCAGTGCCAAAGGAGTCAACTGACTTCATAGTTCAGTTTAATCTACCTGATCCCTTCTAATCCCTTCTACAGGTGTTAGCAACCCTCTTCTTTTTAATGGTCTTGATGTTCCACCAATCAAGCTATCCTTTATTCTGAAATTCTGTTGTCTGTTAGCTGCTCCTGGTAATGAAACTTCTATTCTGAGTCCTGCAGATTGTTTTTAACTCATTTCAGTGAAGTTATATTTGTTTTTGCTTCAATCTGAAACTGAATAATACAGCCCTAGCCCCTTGGCATATTAGCAAAGTTTCTAGTTTATTTTTAACTGGCAAAAAATCTGTATTGTGTTATATGTGATGATACACTTCCCTTTTTCAAAATTCTAGATCTGCCTATGCTTGTTCTCAGCCTTGCCTCTTCATGGCCAGCATGCATCTCGCCTCCTTGCAGGCACAACACCATCTGTTTGAACTTGACTGCCAATATTAGTAGACCTGGTGCTGCAGAGTGGCTTGATTACTCTGTATTTGCCTTTTTTTTGGTCTATATATCTGCCTCACTCCTTCTCAGAGTCTCTGTCAAAGAAAGAGACAGGGTATTTTTAGGTTTTCTTTCTCTTTTCTCCTTTACAGTGCACACCAAGTAAACCTTCTACCACATAGCTGATCAGAGTTGTGGTATAATACATGCAGCTGGGCACAGCAGGCAGGCACACATTCACAGAACCACCCTTGCAGATACTTATTCTTGTGGAAGGGGGAGAATTGGAAACCATGCATAACTGTAGCATGAGAAAGAAAAAAGAGAGAAAGAGAATAAATCATCCCCTGGGCATAAGTCCAGGTTCTTTCTGTGCCCCTCATCAGATTTATTCAGCAACTAAATTAGAGATGTGATGGCAGAATACCCATAAAATGGATGAGCTCTATAATAAGTTGGTGGATTTTGATTTCAAAAGCTGGGGAGCGTAGAGTGGCCCTATGCCTACCTGTCTATCTGCATGTGTGGATAGGTATTATTTACTGGGTACTTTCTATAGGTAAGCTTTTTGGGTCAGGTATGGCATGTACACCTTTCTGACAAAAGAAAGGCCCTGATCAGACTTCTCAACCTCTTAAGGACCAGAGCAGCCAAGACCTCCACATTGCATAGTTCAAATGCCAGGATGCATAACAGGGCATGTCTTCATGAGAAGCTAACTGCTCAGTAGCCAAATAATACTGTGCAGTAGTGCATCACAACACAGACAGTGCTAATACACTACTGGGCAGTATTATTAGGCTACTGCAAAGTAGCATCACTTAAAAGGTGTTCACTGGCGCTACTGTGCAGTAACTCCAGTTACTACACACATATTTAGTACTTGTATGACTATGTATTAAATAATTTACAAGTACTTGATTATAAAAGTACTTGTATAATCAGGTACTTGTATAATCAAGTACTAAATAAATGCACAGTGACCATTGTGCACTAGCATCTCATGTAGGTATACCCGCAGTCATTTAATTGCCATGTGTATCCTGAAGATGCATCCATTCAGTAATTACCTAACTTGGGAAGTGTTCAGATCCCATGCATGTGTCTCTGTGTCTCCTTTTTAAATATCAAGTAAATTATGCCTCCATTTTTATCTTCTTGGTTCATCCTATGGTCAGTTGGAATCCACCATGTGCTTGCTGTCTTCCTCCAGGGCTGTCTCAGGCCTCCTTGCTTCCTTATGTCTCTCCCCATAATCTTTCTTGCAACTGCTACCTGCTCATTTTTATGTCTTAAGGAGGAAGAGCCTAGTACTGATACAGATTATTTTGAGCCTGCACTTGCTGGAATGAACTGGGTTGCAGGCACTTGGGGAAGAGGGAAAGAAGCCTTTTAGTTTCCCTGGCAGGCTGATGAGAACTCTATCACTGGAAGAAATCTTGAAATTGCTGCTCCTGATTCTTTTCCCTCAAGAGGACAGAGCATCCTGTGCTAGGGAGAGTTGGTGGAGCTTCCGTTATTTGTCCAGTCAGTAAAGAAAGGCCCTTCTTTTGAGGCACATTCCTCAGCACAGCTTCCCTCAGACTCTCTCCTCCAAGAAATGGTTATACTACCTATTCTACAGAAGATCTCTGCCACAGAATTGCCCATTAATTTTATGATGATTAATTTGATTACAAATCAATGGAGGGTTGTTTTTTAAACATATATCCATCATAAATGCTGATC